TTCTTCTCTTTCTCTCTTTTCTTAAACTAATCTAATGTGCAATGAAATAAGGAATCTACGAATTTTATGATCAGGGAGTTCTTACATTGTTTAATAATAATGATCGGCTAGTTTTTCTAATGTAAAGAAAACTAGATAAAAATTTAATCTATATAATAGAAAATGTCAATCAAGATAAAATATAAAATTTAATAATTATACCGATTCAAAATCTAAGCTCAAATATCATGTGTAAATGCATTTATTGATTTCCTTTCTTCCGTTTATGATATTTAAACTATCTAACTTAATATCCCCATGCATCTGTTAACTTGAATTATAATCTTAAATAAAGTGAATATAAATTCGTTTTTATATTATCCCTTTTCCCATCTTATTTTATATCAATATATTATTGTTTTACTCCAACATATAATATAATAGAAACGACAATTTAGAAAAAAAATTTGCAACTTTAATGTAACAAAACTTTTTATATAACAAATACTATCATAAAACAAACATAACAGTGATTTATAATGCTATTTTTCATTACTTGTATTCACAAGATTTTCGTTTGAAATTAATGAAAACTCAATTCCTCTGGTATCTGTATGATATGCCAAGATATGGCAATGAACGTTTTCTCCGTTCGCAATGGTGCTTCTTAATTGAAATTGGCATCGACTATCGCTGTTTACATAGGATTGCAAGGATTTCAATATAAATACATATAATATACTAGAATCCTGTCATCGATGAGATACATTTCATGTGATAAAAAATTACTGAATTGTCTTCCAGAACTTACCACTTCCTTTAATACCTTTGACCTTCTGTTGCTTTTTCTTTGCATCAGGTGGAGCTGATAACGCTTCCCTACTTGATTCACTTCCTCCTGATCCTGAACTACCTCCTGCCATATCGGCTTCTTGCACACCACCACCTCCAGCTTGTGCAGCAAGTGATTTTTTTATGTTAGCAATCTACCGACAAAGATATTACAAATTTGCAAACTTTGCCATATTTTATCACTTTCTCTCGAGCAAATATTACTCACATCTCTTTGTATTCTTTCTTTGTGATAAGTGGCCTTTTGTTTTTCTACATTTGCTCTTGTAACTTGTTCTTCGATACATGCTAATACAGTGTCACAAGCCTGACCCCAAGCAGCTAATGTTTCAGCCACTACACCTGTATCAGCAGGTCTAACATCACGTCCTAAACCGGCATAATCTACCTCTAATTGTGAATTTTTTTGATCCAGTTTGCCATGTATTATATCTGCATAAATTGCTTCTATTATTAAATCCTCTAAATCTCTAACATTCTTTATATCTAATTCCTCCAACAATACAGAATATGGTATGCATCTAGATTTTGTAGCTAGTGTTACAATTGTTAGATGCTGAAGTTTTTTCTTTTGAGTAGGAGTCAATTCTAAAACCTTGTCTTTGTTCTCTAAATATTCTTTATATGTGCCGTATGCGAATAAATTCAGAGTATTCCAATATTGAACATAAGGCCCATTTTCAAGTTCTTTGATATTAGGCATATCTAATAATTCTCCAAATACATGGACACCTGGTGTCTCTACCGCTTGTTTAATAAGCTCTATAGCAGCTGCTCCTTTGGCAGTTTTTGCAAGTAGCACAAACTGTTCCAAAGGATTGTTAGCCGACTTTTCAGTGGTAGTTGTACCAGTCATATTGAACCTGTTGAATAAATATTATTCGATGCAACGAACAAATGTGTTATTGAATAACAAATTCCTCAAACCTTTATGTATTTAGAAAAATCTATTAGAAAACCCGTTATAGTATAGTATTCTTTATAAAATCTTATTTACAAAATCATACTACGTAAAATCTTAACTTATTTAGATAAAAGTTAGAATATTTTATAGGTTAGGATTATTCCTTTCTCAAACTTTTAATATAAGAAAATAAAAAGCTGATTGAATTAATTTAAAAAATTAACAGATAACATATTTATTACGTAAGATAAACTTACTTTGTCCGATGTTTACAAATACCAAATGCCTTTTTCTTACTGAATATGCCTTCGAATGTAAGCAAGTATGCAAATATAAATGTGCAAGTCGTACCACGGGAAAGGAAACGGAACTTTCACCAGATGACGATGTGATTGTTTTACAAAAAAGGAGAATGGTATAAAGGACAGTGATAAAATATCATACGAAAGAACTGTTAAAATAAAACGCTTCGAAAAATATATTTCGCATGAATCGATACGTTCTTTGTGAAGTTCTCGTTCGTTCTAAGCTCACGTGGATGTTGTCGACACTGGCAAACAGTATCTCGAGTCTAGAATAACTTCAACGTATTGTATACTGTGTTTGACAGAAGAGAGGGGAATGTGTTGTTCTTCGCGAATGCGAACGGTTTATGTTAATAGTCTTTCCAAATGATTGTGCCGTTTGATGGGAAATAGTGAACGGAAAAATTTCAAGATTGCAGTTCGTCGGACGAAACTGCGCTTGAAAATTCCGGGCAACGGATAGTACAAAATGAAGCCTTTAATCGAATTCGAAGAATGTTTGCGAGACACGCCGAAGTTTCGGTGAGAATCGGTTGAAAAAACTTCTAACACACTTTTGTTTGCTTCTTTTATTTCACTCTGTTGCACGAGCACTATGAGTAACGTTGACGAATCACATTAAGAAAAGACGTATATTAATAAAAGAAAATATTTTTCGAATATTCATTTCGTATGTTTTTAGATCCTGCATCGAAGAAGTAGAAGCAAATGTTGATTTACTTGAACAAAAGTTAGACAAGGTATTGTTATTCAATTTACAAAAAAGAGAAGAAAGCATAACGAAAAAAATATTAAAATTTTTGAACACACGTTATAAATAATGATATAAAAGGGTTATGTTATTTCATATTACATGCAAAATAAATTATTATTGTTAAAAATTGCTAGATGAAATTTAAATGCAAGAATTTTAATTGTCAAATATTTATACTTCTCTATATTGTCAATTATATTATAAACTACGTTACATAAGTGATCTCATTAAAAGAATTATTGTGATAATCATCAATGTTTTTAAATTAGCTTAAAACAGAATTCTTTGCAGGTATTAAAAAATTGTAGTCAGATGATTGACACTGGGAAACTTTTTGTAGGACATCAGAGGTATGTTATTACATATATTAATTTATATGTAATTAATAGAGGAATAAAAATTTGTGCTATGAAAGAATGAAATTATATCACAGTTAATAAATACAAATAACAAAACTATAAATGTTTGATTGATCATATAAAATATATAATTGAAATGCCATTAATCATTTTAAATCAAATGTGTTCAATAATAAAATGGGTGAGGGAGATATACTTCAACTAATAGAGAGTCAGGAAACATATGAATTACAACTCTGTTGAGAATGACTCATACATATGGTACTCAGTTTCACATATAGACAGTGATACAGTTAAAACACTTGCTGTGAATTATTTTTTCCTTGATATTTTTATATTATGTTCAGATAAAAAATAATTTTAAAAACTTTATATATATTCTTATATTATTTTATATAATTTTTAATGTACATAATAAATTATTTAAATTATAATATTTCATTTATAAAGTATTTTTTTATAGCCAATTTGCAAATAGTCTCTGGGAATTATCTCTGTATTTTAATGATGATTCAGAGATAATGGCCTTACTGAACAAACTTATTCATGCTTTACAAGAAATGAACAAGTTTCATACTATATTATTAGATCAAGCATCTAGAACTGTAATTAAAGATCTTAACTCATTCGTTAAAAGGTAAGATCTATTAAATATTTATATGTACATATATGTATATTCAAATGTAACATATTTTGTACATATTTTAACAGTGATATCAAGAGGGTAAAAGAATCTCGTCATTATTTCGAAAAAATTTCTGCAGACTTAGATATAGCTTTAAACAGAAATTCCCAAGTTCCAAAGTCCAGGCCTGCAGAATATGAAGAAACTTCGAACATTTTATCAGCTACCAGATCCTGTTTCCGGCATACTGCTTTAGATTATATTCATTCTTTAACAATGATACAGGCACGCAAACGACACGAAATATTGGGCACCTTGCATAATTACATGAACGCGTGCATTACTTATTACCATCAAGGTAGCGATCTAGCACAAGATTTAGATCCATTTTTAAAACAGCTCGGGGATAATTTAATTAAAATGAGAGCCGATTCCGTAAAACTTGAAAAAGAAATGGAAAATCGGCATATTTACGTTACCAATAGAGATTTAATACCTTCCCCGACACCTGGTAATCCTAAGATGGAAGGCTACCTCTTTAAACGTACTAGTAATGCGTTTAAAACATGGAACAGAAGATGGTTTTGTCTAAGAGATCATCAATTGGTTTATAGAAAAAGAACTGGTGATAATGATTATACAATTATGGAAGAAGATCTTCGTCTTTGCACTGTAAAACCAGTGGTTGACTGTGATAGAAGAAATTGTTTTGAAGTATTAAGTCCTACAAAGTGAGCAATCAATAATGATAATAGTAAAAAATTTTATCTAACAAAAAATATTTTAATAGACTATTATTCAATTTGTAGAAGTCACATATTACAAGCTGATAGCGAAGAAGCTTATTTAGCATGGGTAACTGCCATGCAACAAGCAATTGGTGCTGCCATTCAAAGAGGTATGGGTGCTGGTACTATAATTAATATACGAGAATCGCAATCACAAAATGTTAGAGGATCAAACAGGCAGCAAACAAAACCTAAATCAAGGTATTAATTAAAAATGATCTTGAATGTTTAATTACATTTAGATAAGAGTTGATTTTAAAAAGAAATGTGTATAATTCTCTTTATTTTGCAGAGTATGGGAACAAATCTTAAAAATTGCTGGAAACGATACTTGCTGTGATTGTGGTGGTGCTAATCCAAGATGGGCCAGTATCAATCTTGGAATTACACTCTGCATAGGTAATTCTATTTTTTTTTTTTTTTTTAAATACAAACTCAATTATTTTCTAGCTTTGTTTAAAAAATTTATTTTCTTTTAGAATGCTCTGGGGTGCATAGAAGTTTAGGTGTTCATTACAGTAAGGTTCGTTCATTGACGTTAGATGACTGGGAACCTGAAATACTGAAAGTAATGGCAGAGCTTGGAAACACTGTCGTGAATAATGTTTACGAAGCTTTACCAATCCCCCCTAATATTATTAGAGCTACTCCAAAGTGCAACGGGTAAATAAAATTGGTATAGAAGATAATAATTATTTTTCCTTCCCAAAAATAATAAATCTAATATTTTTCTTAAATTAACAGAAATATACGTGAAGCTTGGATAAGAGCAAAATATGTAGAACGCAAATTCGTAAAACCTTTGAGCAATATGATTTCATCCGGACAACACGCAAGCCGCGATAAGATGCATTTTCGTAAATGGAGTGTCCGTAAATTGCGCCGTCGACCGCGAAGTTGTGACAAAATCGATAATACTAATCGTAACAAAACAACGATGCTATCATCTGTAAAAGAGGGTCATCATTCAACGAGTTCGGACGAGAGTAAACATACATCAATCGAAAGTTTAAGTTCTGTCGATAAAACGAAGAAAGTTGAAAGAAGTTCCTTAAGTTCTGATGATAGTACGAATATGGATTTAAAGAATGAGTCTACACTTTACGGGAAAATCTTACCACGTTCTCGTAGCGACGCAAATGAAAGTAATCTTAAGACTATCGATAATAATATGGAATTTAACATCGAAAATGAACATAAACTTTTAATTCCTGAAATCAAGGACAATACAATTGCCATGAATGATTCAGAAAATAATCTATCGATAAAAAATGAAGTGTCCTTAAACACAGAGATTTCTGATGTGAAAGATGCGTTCGAGAATAAAGATGCAGAAACGGAAAAGCAATGTAAAGTAGAATCCGATGTATTGATGTTCGGATGTGATTTACCAAAGCCAACGATCGATAATAGCTTAGAGTTAAGTTCCGATCAAGATTCGACTGCTGGCGAGGATGAAGAATTCACAGATGAAGAGGATATAGAAAATTTGCATCCTGAAATGTTGCTTTATAAAGCTGCTGCTGCGCATAATCTTCCTGTAATGTGTGCAGCTTTAGCATCTGGTGCTGATAAATCATGGACAAATGTTAATGACAGAGGAAGAAATGCTCTGCATCAAGCAATTATAAGTGTATGTATAAAAATCTCTATTGTTCAAATTTTTCGATAATTAATTTTTATTTTTTGGAATACAGGGTTCTGTGATGTCTTGCGAATATCTAATATTAAATGGAGCTCGTATTAATTGCCAAGATGCTGATGGAAAAACACCATTATACTTGGCCACAGAATTAGGTGTGCATTTTTTATAAATTTTATTTCTTAACAAATTTATTATAAACTTGATTATTTAATTGGAATACATAGGTCACACTGCCCAAGTATGCTTGCTATTAAAACATCGCGCTGATCAGCATATCGAGGATGAAAGTGGTATAAAACCTTTGTCCATAGCTGTAAAAGAAGCTAATGCGGACATCGTTACATTGTAAGTATAAAATGGAACATTGTTTCATTGAACAAACAATGTTTATCGTATCACTTTGATATATATTTCAGATTAAGACTTGGTCTTTTAAACGAAGAAATGAAAGATTCTGAGATTGGAATTAGCGGTGATGAAACTTTCAACGATGTCGTTCGTGATTTTAGCCAGTTAGCTTGTTCTCATCCAGAACGATTGCAACGACGAAATGAAAGTAACAACGCGTCACAACCGCCTGAATGAGGTTTAAGAATGTGCAAAGTTTATTTGCAAAATCTTAAAAGCATGCTACAACGTAAAGAGAATAAGCAGTCTGGTACATCGAAAATGTCGTCTTTCAGTTCCTTGCAGGGTAATAAAATTGATTAACGAAGTAAGTATGAAGTTCGAAGCTTGACGATATAATAATTGAAACAAAAGAAAGAACCATTGCGGAAGTTGTACACTTTTTACACTTTGATCTCTGTGCGAAAAAAGATTTATTAAAATTTATTAGCATTTTGTATTTCTATTAAAGATAACACACAAAGCTAAAAGACTTTCACATGTTTTGCGAAAGAAAATAGAAAGAAGAAAGAAGAAAATATTATATTTTGCTTACACGCGAAATTTATGCTGTCTAATGATAAAGTATTAAGATGCCGATCTTTTTGTATATTTTTCCTCCTCGTTTCCTCTAAAATTTACAGAAAATAAAGACACGGTAATAATTGTCGTGCATGATCCGTATATATTTTAAAGATGATCTTACAATTTAACGAACTTCACACAGACACTACATAGTTATAAATGCAATATGAAATTTAAAATAATTTTGCAAATATCTATGACAAAATATAAGTTATTATTATATATTATTATATAGATATTTGTATATCGTTTATGTGATATCCAGAAAAAAATATGAAAAAGTAGTTATAAACTCTATAGTATGAAAATTTGATTACCAATCGACACATTTTCGATATAATATGATCTAATTCCATGATATCCATGGAACAACAATTTTATACATAGATATATCTGTTTTTATATACTTAATATTACCAGTATTACGCACTGGTATTGAACAAATTCCTTTTTTCTTTTTTTTGTATTTTTTTTTTCTTTTTTAGCTAAAAATAGTAATTGAAATAGTGAATTGTGACATAGATATATAGAATATTACAATATAGTTCATAGAATAGTTACATTTATAAATAGCTGTATACTATATTAGATTACCAAAATAGACTAACAATGATTCTATATAGTTCCGTACAATATATACATATATTATATAGTATATCGAATTTGTTGCCAAAAATTGAATGTTTGTACATACAAACTTGTACATCTGACAATTATTTGACGTTAATTCTCTAAAGAAATATTTTATTTCCTAGGGTTATTTAAAATTAACAATCAAAAGATATACATAAAAATACGTTTACAATTTTTTTTGTAATTCAATCTTTCTTTTTTGCTATGTTTTATGCTATTATGCAACACACGTAAATTAATTTCCTTTCGTGATTTGTACAACGAATAAGTTATACTTCTCTTTTTGTATATTTTAATATTATACTAACACTACGTTGAACAGTATTTATGAAAATTTTATAGGATAATGCATGATTTTTAATCTACTTATACGTAATAGAAAAATGAATTTAGATAAGAATTTGAGAAAAAAAAAAATATCAATCATTGTTATTAAATATTTTTCATTGTTTACGTAGAGAGGCTTTATTGATAGTTACGATTAAATGGTACAAAATCGAGATCATTAAGTCATCAGTATAAAATTTCTTTCCGTGAGATTTGTATGAAAAAATTATTGCCACGTGATTTTCAGATTTGATATATTTTTTTATTTGTCAATATTTTGTCACTCGAATCTGGTATTCGATGTTTGATGTAAGAATCTTGTTTAATTAAGCAATATGATTACGAACGTGACGTAAGCATAATTCTACTAAAACAAGATACTCATTGTTGTATAAATAATTAGCAACAAACACACTCAACTCCAATCTATTTTTTTAATCTACAACACAATGGTATTTTATTACTTGCTGTTTTTACGACAAAGTAATTTTAAGATGAAGATCTTTTTTGTTCATTGTGTGTTCTATTTTGTTACAAAATTTTTTTACGAATCATTTTATTATACGAAAATTTTTTTATATATTGTAATAAATTTTACTCCAACGTTGAAATTGATCCTGTGCTAGTACTTTTAATATGTACTTAGTTCTTTTTTTTTTTTTTTTTTACATTTTTTTTGTACAAAACCATTGACAAAAAGAAACGTCAAATGAAAAATAACAGAAGACACACAGAGGAATTGTTTTTATATTTATTAAAGATAATTGTCTTCCAATGATGAAAATTCACTCTTTAAAGAATTCCCATTGTAATATTATCCTAAATTTATAATTTACTATTGTAACGTTATCGGTTACTGTGAAATCGTCACCGGTTACTGCCTAATTGTGAAATGTTGTTAAAATATTCCATGTACGTCTATAGACAAGTTGAACAAATAATATCGTTTTTCTGTTGCGCGCCATCGCAATAAAAAGAAAAAAAAAAAAAAAAAGAAAAATTGTAAACAGTCTAATTCATGTATCATGTTGTACACAAACTTTACGTCATAAAGCAGTGATTATGCAAGTACATGTACGTGTTCTTTCAATAATTCTTACCCTTTACTTTATAGATATTCGAACTCGAGCGAAAAAGATAGAAATAATGGGAGAGGGAGAAGGAGATTTTTATTTTACGAATGCCGCAAATTGAACCGTTATTATCCATTTAATTCGTTCCACATTTTCGTAAGATGGTGAAGTTGGGCTGACACAAGCGATACGAGAGGAGATTTACGCAACAAATTATTTGTTATGGAACTTATTTGTATGAAATTACGGCGCAATTCGTGAAGTGTAGGATTGATAAATTCCCCACTAATCGAAATAAACACTTATGCATCGTGTAATTTACGCGTTACTCTCTCGCTATAAGTTGCGTAAATTAAAGCAAACGGGTCAATACCCTATCGCTGTTATAATTATCAGTGTGTGAGTTGCACACACAGATGCGTGCACGGATGTCCAAACTAATTTATCAAAGAATTTTTCTATCTTACATGTGAATGCTCCACTTTTCGTTACTAGCATTTATTTACGCGCTCTTTAAAGATAAAAGATACAAAATAAGGCGTCGCGCGAGGGGCTCTTTTAAATACCAAAATAAACACTGGACGTCGAAAACAAGTTTCCATTACGAGAAAAATAAAATTAACGAAACACGAAATGAATAAAATGAAAGAGAGAGAAAAAATACTTATTTATACTTCTCTCTTCGAGAAATATCTGTCAACTTTGATCCGAAGTGAAAATTTGTTAAGTTAAATTTTCTAAAGTATCGTGATAACGAGAAGCAGATTTAAAATTCGATTAAACTGATTATATCTTCGAATTTATCGAGTTTTCGTACTTCGATATATCAAAGTACGCAATCCCTTTCAGTTTCTGAAGATCACGTGAAAATCACGAGAAAAACGGACTTATCAAGAATTTTTTCCTATGGTTTTCGCACGAATAATACCAGGAATAAATGTTTTCACAATATTAATCGTAAATATCGTCATCTTTTAAAAATGTTCCATCCAATTTATTTCAAAATTTATAGGAGAATTTACTTTAAATTAGAATTGGAAACCACGCGCTGCCATCGCGGTTCCATAACAATTTTCTGCTTATTCATTGGCTTGAAAACATGAAAATACTCTGCCATTGACGATCAGAAACCGTGGATTGGTTCGAAGTAGATAACAGATAAGAACCAACGCTGCTCGATTGGTCGAGCATGCCCTTCTCGTTGCTCGATAAAAGCATTGTTTGTCAAACTATCAATCGTACGCATTGGTACAAGCGTGGATTAATCTCCTGACGCCATTGATCCAACTGCGTGCATGCATTTCTCTTATTCCTCTCGTATTTTGTTTACTAACGAACCGCTCGTCAACAACATGATTAATTTCTCTTTTTTCCTCTTTCTTTCTTCTTTTTTCAATCGAGTTCTCGATATACGATAAGAAATTCCTATTCCTCGAACGGAGAAAAACGGAGAAGCGCATACGATGCAAAGAGATAAATCTTCTTTCAAGAATATCAATCCCTATTAACTCAGCCGACATGTGACCGACAAGTCACGTATCCATTCGCATATATTTTTTTCTTCTTCAAATTTACTTATCAATACGTCATTACATCTATGACTGTGGTTTATCTTGACTTTTACTAACATTCGTTAGATCGAAAAGTAAAAATTGTGATCAATATCGCAACATTTATCTCTCGTAAACAAATTAAACTCCTCCCAATCTCTGCATCGAAATTCTAAATAAACTCCAGGTTCGATGAACGGAAACGTCGCGTTATTTTTCGTTATTGTATTTCGAAAATGAATTTCGAATAAACGCGTGAAATAAACACGTCGATCAAAGTGCGCGAAAAGAATTATCGTAGCGCGAGGAGATCAACATCAACGTCGATAGGTGGAAAGACGAAAAGATGGGAAAGTTAAAAGGAAAAGGATTGGACGGAATTGGCGGGCCGAGCCCACCGGTTCAAAGAGTTCGATAATACGATGAATACAAAGATTCCATCTATCCGCAATCTATGGCGGCAGGCAGTCTACGACGACTGCCTAGAACAGATTCCTATTTCGAACGATTACGGCCTCGAGGTTGCATGTGTCATTCCACGCGCAGCCGGTTCCACTAATTCAACTGACAGATACGAACAAGATCATTAATTCTAGCACGGCCACTTTCATGACCCGTTCTTTGAAGAAAACCACGTCGCCGGAATTACAAATTAGGCCTGAACAATCCTGCAAGCCTCCTCGCGAGACGAGCCGCGAAATGACTTACTCCGATCGTGGACTTCCAAGAAGGGGAGACCAACAAGAAATTGATTGCACGGTACAAATGAGCCCCCACTTTGAACGCGAGAATAACTCTTTGCAACGCGGGCTTTGAACAATAGTTCTAAAATTGGTCGGGAAAATATCTGGTTTTATATTTTCTCTCAGCCCGTGGCAAATTGCGGCGGTGGGGGGTTCCACGATGGAAAGATTTGCATTGATAACCGTGGGGCCCCTTCTCTCCGCCCGTTAAAAGCGCGAGACGGTGATTGAACGAACGGTTGGGTCGGTGAACGTGAAACAAATCCAGTTACCATAACACACCATCGGTGCAATTTATTTTTTACGACACCGAAAGAATGTTTGAATTATAGCATTGATAAGGCCGCGGGGCCCTTTTCGGCTTGACGCCGCGTCGTAAATCAAGGGCTCCCGCAAAAAGTCCCGGCGCGCGACTACAATTGAGATTGGCCATGGGCCACGAACAAATTTCTTGCTTCCTTTTATTTTCCAGTCACGGTTTTGGCTTACCAGCCGGCCTGAAACGGCAATAAAAACTGAAACGGCGATCCTGCTCGCGTAAAACAACCACTTGGCGAGGACCAACTGGTGTAAACGTTGAACAATCGTTACGCGAAACTCTTTAATCGGTATGAATCATTTCGTCTCGTTCCCTATCGCGTTTCATTTAAATCGCCTCTCCATCTCTCTCCATTCATATATTCTTTTCCTTCTTTTCAATAGTCGTCCAGATCCTATTCCACGCGAATAGAGGAAATTCTCCCACCTCTCTCCGTCTATCCATAAATGCGCGGCAAATCCTTCGATCGATCGAGAGGCGAGGCTTTTTTTCGACGCGACCGAAAAATCAAGAACGGCCAACTTTCCTTCCCTCTTCGCGAATTTTTTCACTCGGGCGAGAAGTGGGCGTCGAGATTCACACGTATTTTCATATTCACGCGTGTGGACAGTTGTTGCGTTCTCGATATAACGCCAAGTGCGTAGATTCGCCGTCGAATGGAATTGGCTGCGTAGAAGATTAGAATGAACCGTGAAGTCCGACGTCTGGTCGATCGACGAAATTAGTATCGCTTACTCACCCTACTAATCACACACTGTCTGGCTGGCTTACGAAATTCTAGGTTCCTCGTACTCGTCGGTCGCGAGCGGACAACGTTGTTTTCCTATTCGTCGTTCGTTTCCCTTGATTCGCGTGACTGGTCCACACACACACGCACACACACTCACACATATATAACTTCGAGAGGATCCGAACGATCTTTAAACTCGCGTGCAAAAAGTTACAATTCGAAATACTTAATTTTCGGAGGAATTTTCTTCAATTTTACAATTTTTCTTTATGCCGATTTCACCACAGCTTTGCTTCCTTCTTGCGTTTAATTTAATCGGAAATGTTATCGGTTTATGACAAAATCTTGAAATTTTCGTCTTCCTTCGATCTGTTCGAATTATTTGAAAAGAATAGAAAGAGAAGTATCTTGACTCGCTCGAGTTGGGTATATAGGATTACCAATAATTACAAACTTTTTATTAATTTACGTTATTGAATTTTGTTAACTGTAAATTATTGTTATTTCAATGATTTATTAAATATATATATTTTTCATCGTTTATTTCTTCTTCCCTTCGGATCTTAGAAATCGTTAAAGAAATTTTTATAGGAATCTTTGTTCCACCGATTATCGTTATTCTCCAATAGCGAAAGAAAATTTTCTTTTCTATCAAATTTTTATAAAACCACCATC